AAGCTTACTATCAAAACTAGCACTAGGATCACAAAATATCGCAGAAAAAGGAGTTGTGTTTGTGGCCGCGCCACTCGGTTGATCCAAAACACTATTATCATTACTAGTTTAAAGTTTTTCTAGCAAAAATTTTCAAATAAACTCTGAGACATGGTAGAATCTAATTTTGAGTTTAGTGATAAAAAAAATCAAAATCAAATCAAAATTTACAAAAATACTAAATTTAAAGCACTCAAGATGAATTCGTGCTGGAGTTAAGTTAATTACATCACTTGTAAACATTGATTACTTCGTAAGTATAATAAGCCGAAGATAGTAAGTTTTGAGCTCGGTAAAGAAACAGAGGAAGATGTTTTTCGTCTTGTCACGAGCATGGGACAAAGAAAAAAATTCTGAGTCTCCATGGGGTTCTATTCCTCATGAGGACTCAGATATTTTTTTGCCTTTGTCCCACGCTGGTGGTAAGACGAAAAACATCTTCCTCTATTGACTACTTCTTCTGAAAAAGTCGGTTCCATACTCTTCTCCTTGTTTTCCAACTGAAAACACAATTTTTTTGGTTTTTGTGAAAGTGTTGTTGTGATTGTTTACAATACAAGGAACTATTTTCATTGTCATTCAAAATCAGTGGGAAAAATTTATGCTCAAAATAAATTCATACAACATCTCATTGGCTTTTTGTAATTCAATATTTTTCTAGGGAATGTTTTATTCTTCTTTGTAATAGTTTGGCCCATTATGGAAAGGGTTACACTGCACTCCATGCATTATACAATGTCCCTACCAATTACTTCGTGAAATGTACACCAACCTGTCAAAGACTTTTTGATATCGTAGACAGAGGAAAAAAGCACACGCTACAACTGCGAAGGTATTGTGGGTAGGTATTAGCCCTTGCTTCCTTGACCTCAGGATTTCAGGGAAATCTGAGAAAGCGTCACTATGAGGACGAGTCATCGCGATCTCTTCTTGTTAAGAGGATAATGAAAGAGAAGAAGCAATCTCCTCAGAGGATCTGGCTCATATCGTTGTTCTATGACTTGTTTCACGAAGGTAACAAATTTATATACAAACAAAGGGTCTTAACTATTTCCCTCCGTTTTACAAACTGGTCGCCTCGAACTGGCTTAAGACAGAGGGGAAGTACTATAAAGGCCTATTTACACGGTACGACTTTGTCGCATGCGACAAGCTTACGACAGGCCTACGACATGACTTAGGACAATTTACACGCGCACGACATTTTCACCTACGACATGCCAAAATCGCGTGCAATTCCACTCGTTTCGGCCGCGGTCATTATTTCAATAATTTGCAAGAGAAGGAAAAGAACCTCTTCCTCGCTCCACAGTGATATCATATTCTCTGTTTCCTCATCTGAGAATGTATTTTTCGCTTTGGAAGCAGTCTTCGACTTTCCGGAGGCGACTTCCTCTGCCATTTTGACGCAAGAAAATTTCACCTTCCTCTCCTACTCAGTAGAAATTTGTCACAAAATACGTCATTTTCCATCAATTTCGGCTACGATTGTCGCAGCGTTTTAAAATATGTTTTAAAATCCTACGACATTTTTCGTGACGTGCACGACAGTCGTAAGCGAGTGGTAGGTTTGATTTACACGATACAATTCGTGTCGTAGGCCTGTCGTAAGCTTGTCGCATGCGACAAAGTCGTACCGTGTAAATAGGCCTTAAGGGAGGTACGATAATGAGGGAGAATGGGGCAGACCTGAATAACGAAATGTTACGTCACAGGTATGTGGTCAATACCGCAGTCTCAAGCACACGAGGTTTAAAATTCAACGAAATTTGCGGAGGGAAAAAAAAGGCTGGTATTTAAAAGTGAGGCATTCTGTTGTCGTGGAAGGCATTTTCCTATTTCCAGTGTTTTTAGGGAGAAAATTAATTTTTGAAAACATTTAGGGGGTGTACAAAGTTTTTAGAGGTTGCTCTGCAAAAAAAACGTAAAGGGAAACAACGCCTAGAAGCAACATCACGGAATTCAAACAAGCAAACGACTCATAATCCATTTCCGCGCCGATCAGACAAGTCTCCTTTGTTCTCAAAATCCGTTTCCGAAGACGTTTTTTAGCTCTGTCGGTAGATTGTGCATTTATTATCTTTGTTTTAGAGACTTCTTTGCCCCGAGTGCTGGGCCATCAAATCTCTCTCACCGCCAGTCTAAGAGATACGTGCCATTCAGACTGTCATAACTGATACTTAGGGAAGGGTAGTCAAAACGTCGAATTATCCAAAGATCATATTATTGCACAGAAAAAAAAATAATGGTAACTTTTTTTTCTAATGGAAAGCCCCTTTGAAAACCATCTGATACTAACTTACTCTCTCACTAATGAAGAATCACAAGGACGGATGGACATACCTCTCCTCATGGGTCACTACCTACGCACGCGCTTTACAACTCTCCCTTAAATTGAGATAGGTGTTTTTTGATCGTGTGGCCAGTTTTATTTTGTGTTTAGGGGTGAAGGCTGTGTTTTTGATTTGACAGAACGCAAAAGTGTGTAAGCTATGTACGATGTATCGTCCTTTCAAGAACTTAAACTTTTTCAAATTCTTGATTTGGCGGAGTTTGCTGTTGTCCTAACATTACGTTCGTAAGATATCAGTTTGATTGATTTTATTTGCGATTCGCCTGCTTGTGAACTCAGTCACATTAATGTTAAATAGGCTGTTGACATTTACTTAACGTTCCTGGTTGTGCTTCAATTCGCTCGGTGATTGTTTTCACTAATCACAGTTTAAACATTCTTGTTTTCCCGCGCTTAACCCGTTTTCACTCCTCATTTACTTCTCGCGATATTTTCCATCTTAGATTGGCCAACGTGATTTTGGTTTAACGACGATCGATCACAAACCTCTCTGTTCCATCCACGTGAAAGAAAAGATAGAAGCCTTCTGTTTCCCGTATTTCTTTTGTTCCAAGGCGATTGTTTTCGCTCTTGCTCGAAGCACTCTTTGTATTACTGTAGACTCGTTTTCAGATCATCTTGTAACTTAAGTAGCTTCTCTTGATGGCATTTCCCACAGCACTCCTTAGTTTGTCCATCACATCCTTCTTTGACTTCTACGTTTGATGGAAGATTTTCCGCAGATAGCTTCTCTGTGTGTAAGTTCTTTTTTCTTCTGCTAACCGGTATTTGTCTGTTCCGCTCATTATTCACAGTCCAGGGTCCCAAACTAGCGTTTGCGTAAAAATCCATTGGGTAATTTTCTTGCCATTCGATTTGTTCAAGCACAACTGACGCCTGTAAATTAAACGAAAAAATTCCAATGAGAACATTTTTCAATTGACTGAAAAAGCAAAGCAAACCACTATACCACTGCTTTTGCTGTTTTTCGTTCTATGATGGGTCTAGATACTTACGTCACTCTCTCATCCAATCGGAAAAAAACTAAAACGAATCTACACTTAGGGACTCGCATTAGAGCAGTTTTTTTAGTGAGTGTCCAAAAATCAAAACCAAACTAATCACAACTACCAATCAGAACAAAGGTTAACATCATCATTAACCAATGAGAACTCAAAGTAAAAACAGGCAACGTCCCTGAAGCGCGGGAAAACGCGAGTCACCAAGTCGTGATTGGTTTTAGTTTTGCATCTGATTGGTTGAGATGGTGGCGCAAGTTTTTTGGACCAATCACAGGGTGAAGGAAAGTAAAAACAAAGCTATTCCAGATCGCTTTTCGACACCAGGTGGAAAATGTCTCTACCCATGCTTACTTGCATTTTGTTGTTAGTCTCGAAATTGAAACTATTTGATTCGATTTCTGTATAAAAACGAGAACCGTCAAGTTCCCGGTTTGTGTTTGTGAACATTTGTGTTATGCATCTAAACATTTGTCTCCCGCAGATGACATGGACCT